ATTACAATGATTACGATTGTAATCAGGTAATCACGTCACTTTTTTAATATATTTATAGTATTATTAAATCAAATACCTATAACATTTGCTTGGTCACTAAGTTTTATTTTAAGTTCTAATCATATATCATTGATTCCGATTTTACCCATCGCTATATTATTAGGATGGGAGTGTTCAGACCGTTTAATAATTAAAACAGTTATAGTGTTATATGTGCATCGGCTGAAGTGAGCTGGGTACTTTCTTCCCTCATGGCTGACGATATTAGATATTAATATCTAATAAATATTTAGAGCAAACACAAATTCAACTTTTTTATTTAAGAATTCAAAACTTAAGAACCGTTTTATTTCTATAAATATGACATTTTTATGCCATAAGTAATCCTATGTAATGTGTTTTTTTTTCATTTTTGCTTCCTCAATACCGAAGGTGTAGAAGCATTGTGTTCGTGCAATCGCGTTTTATGTTTCAGACATCAAGGATTCGTGTTCCGTAGTTCCGTGTCAGTCCGTCTGTCTGTAGTCAAATCTATGTGACGGGCATATCACCGAACACCGTTAATCCGGTTTTTATGGAATTTTTAGGGATTGTGAGAATTAGTATCTATATTGTCCCATCTAAATTTTATCGAATTCCATCCAGCACTTTCGCTAGCGCACGCGCAAACATATTTTTTTAGATATGCCAACATTTCAGAATTGGCTCATTCGACTTGGCTGAATGTTGGATAAAAGGCAGACGTTTTTCTTTTTGCAGTTAGGTTTTCTTAATTGATGTAATATTCTGTGGGTGTTTAAAATTTGTATGCTTATAAATACCCGTGTAGAAAGAAGGCCTTCACTGGCTGTTCTTCAATTAGATGGATTAGTATGTTGTGTTAGCAGCTCATCACATTTGAGCAGCATTACGATTTTATTGTAGTTCTATCTTTAAAAGAAAACACACACACATAATTGGACACTTTTTTTACAATATTAGATTTTTTTATATTTTTTAAAATTATATTATTGTTAAAAGATGCCACTGAACACTTAATACCTGGCATTTTATAAGATTCTATTAATAGTTAAGGTGAGTTTAGAAATTTCACGAACTATGAAAAACACAATTATCTAAATTAATTAACTTAGACATTAATGCTAAACCAAACTATTTGATTTCTCTTTATGCCGACAAAAGATAGAAAATATCAAAAACAAAAATACTATCATAGTGAACTAACCTGTTTGTTTCATAGATTCTGAAATGTCTGAACACACCTTTATGTTATTATGAAAAATGCAAGAAATATTAAAAACGATGCAATAAACAAATTCTCTACATTTTATTTTAAAAAAAAGAAAAGAAATACTCGTAATTTTATTATTATAGAGATGGGTAAGTAGTTCACTGTTAAAATTATAAGGATGAAAAAAATTATCAGTATTTACATTAAAATTTTTTTTTAATAATTAAAAAAATACTTTAATTTTTAATTTTTTTTATTTAAAGAAATTTTGACTGCAAATCCTGACAATTTTTTCATGCTCATGATATTATTATAATACCATTATATTAATAAAAGAAATACTCGCGGGATCTACAAACAAAATTAAACAACAATTGTACTAAACCGTTGTTTTGTTTCTCTAAATATGTATATATTCCTTTTTTCTATTTATATATTATATTTGTATATTATTTACAGTAAATGACTTTGAAATAAAGAATTCAAAAATAATTTTAATATCACTTTCGTTCTTAACGTTTCAGTTCTTGCTTGTAATTTTCAAAGCACTTTATTCTAGATTGGTAATCCTATTTTTTTACTTACCTATTTGAAATTACCTTCAATCAAACTTAAAAAAGTATTCTTTTCAATATATATTTTTTAAACTTTATTTTTACATCCTCACATGTCTAATACATCATTGACAATCAATGGATTGTCTGGCGAGATTAGTAAAAATAATAATGACATGTCAGGCTTGAGTTTTCAATAAATTAAACAAGAAGACAAAAATAAAAAAGCATAATAATGTTGAAATAAACCTTCATTGATAGGCTTGAAAGGACAATAGGTAGGTTAGGCGGTCTAGTCATTACGTTACGATTCAAGTTCCTCTATCAAGCATTTCTGAATGAGCGAACCTGGTAGTTTTATAGACCTTGCTTGGGGACACTCGTTCTCCAAGAGGAGGATAAATCCATGGAACGATCACTGCGATTAGAGGGTTAGAAAGGTGTGGGGATAATAGAAAGCTTGGTTAAGAAGGATTATGTTACATATATAAAGATTAAATATACACTGACAGGCAAAAAATTCCATCCACTTGATTTTTTCATGTTTTCATCTAAAACTATTTCTGCTTTAGAACTATTTCTGCTGTTTTTAATGAATAAATAGGTAATATTTTTGTTTGTTTTCAATTAGGAATGTTAATAGAGGACAATAACCCTTAATCCTTAATTCAATGATATGATTCTAGATTCCAATGTTTACTTTCTATGGAATCAAAATGTTTATTTAGTATCATTAGTTCAGTACCATTTCTTAGTCTCCGGCTTTTAATTTTTTCAATATTAAGTATAAAAAATGCCTCTTAGTATATCTTTGCTGGAGGATATCCCATTCCTTCCGAAGAGCCCTTTCAAGGTCCTGCAGTGTATCAGGAAGTGTTGCACGCGCTCTTATTCGTCTTCCGAGGTTATCCTATAAATGCTCAATGGGGTTCAAATCTGGAGAACGTGCTGGCCAGGCTAAAACCTCAATATTGTTCTGTTGAAGGAACGTATGCACTATGCGGGTGACATGTGGCTTTGCATTATCGTGCATTAGAATAGAACGATCGCCGATTTCGTTGGGGATAGGCACCACATGAGGTTCTAAAATCTCATCTACATAGCGAATGGCCGTCAAATACCCTCCACGAACAACGACCAATTCTGTGTGGCGCTCCGTTGAAATCCCAGCCCACACCATTAAGGAACCACGTTGGAAAGGTTGGCTCTGGGAAAAACTACAGGCTGCATATCTTTCGCTTCTTCTTCTCCACACCTTTTCACGCTTGTCTGGAGATCGAAGAGCGAATCTTGACTCATCTGTAAAAAATACAGCACGCCATTCGTCTGTAGTTCAATGAATGTGTTCCCGAGCAAAAGCCAGCCGTGTTACTCTGTGAGTTCTGGTCAACTCTGGTCCTCTTACTGGACGAAAATCCATTAATCCATACTCATTTAATCTTCACCGAGCGGTACGTTCAGATGAATCGCTTGAACAACGGTAAGGTGCCGGTTTCGAAAATTCTCAAAGTAAAAAACCGGTCATCCCGTGGTTCTGTTACCCTAGGCCGTCCAGAACCGGGCCTTCTATTGTAAGAACCAGTTTCCCGAAAACGTCTGACGGCGTCTCGTAAAGTTTCATATGGAACTCCGATGGCATTAGCTACACATCTAATGGAACGTCCATCATCAATAAGTGCCACACCACGCGCAACATCCTCAGCACTAAGAGGCATTTTTAAACTTAATATTGAAAAAATTAAAAGCCGGAGACTAAGAAATGAGCTGCAACAAACGGAACTGATCTAATGATACTGAATAAACATTTTGATTCCATAGAAAGTAAACATTGGAATCTAGAATCATTTCATTGAATTAAGGATTTAAGGGTTATTGTCCTCTCTATTAACATTCCTAATTGAAAACAAACAAAAATATTACCTATTTATTTATTAAAAACAATAGACCAATCCAAAGCAGAAATATTTTTAGATGAAAAAATGAAGTGGGTGGAATTTTTTACCTGTCAGTGTATCATGTTTCATGTTTATTTAAAATATTATTTTAGAAAGGAATTATTTGGGAAATAATTATTTATATTTTTAAAATAATTGTATTTATGAAATAAGATAATCTCAAATAATAGTTATGAGACAAATCTGTTCCTACACGATAATTTTGTATTTATATAGAAAACTTGTGTCTAATTGGAGGGAACGTATTTATTTACATACTTTGAATAAACATATCGGTAGATGTTTTATTAAGGAAATTATGTCAGCGAATATTTAAGCTTGGTGTAGTAATCGGGTACATTCAACTACACTTTACGGCACTAGTATATTTCATATCATGTACTGGTGTATATCAACGTCTGAATATCTGGAGCATCATGTAGACCTGGAAATGTAAATGTGAACATGTAGACGTGGACCCGATTGTTACACCAAGTTTAAATATTAGTAGATGTAAATTTATCAAACGACCTGCTAAGGAGGTTTAGGAAAAATTTTCAACATTGAAATGTAGGTACATCCTTCAGATTGAGACCATGGAGGGCTCTGGACGATACGATGTTTCGGGACCCTTCATGGTTAGTGAAGGTGGGATTGTAAGGAGAGGTACCCATCTCCACCCCAATTTTTATTTTAAGGGAAATAACAATATTTCTCAACTTTGTTCACAAGCAAACTTTTATATAATACTAACATTTTTTTACTATAACACGATTTCTTAAATAATAAACAATCAGGAAATAAATTAACGCACTAAAATTAAATTAATTTATGACAACTCAAAAATATTTCATTGTATAGATGTGCCATTGCAGTTAACATATCATCAGAATTTGGTACTTCGAATAAATGTAAGCTCATTTGTATATTTGACAAAAAATAAGTTATATTTTTAGATAGGCCAAGTTTCTAAGCTTACCGCTAATCCAAAGATGGATTTCCTTTGCACATTAATGATCTCAACGCTAAGTTTAGAAACTTGCTCACTGCTAAATTGATGAGTTTAGGATCGGTCTGATGGAATTCCGATGTCCATCAGTGATCTCAAATCTTAGTTAAAAAACTTTCCCAAACCAAAACAGATTTCAGCAAACTGTATCTCTTTGGAATTCCTCCTAGTTCCGCGGAAGGTTTCGATCCTTTAAGTGTGTTAGGTTACATTATTTATTTTGTCTTCAAAACTTTAAATATTTTTCTGTTGCGTTAAATTAAGTTATAAATATGTTAAGCATGAGTGAAAAAAGAAAGTATTCACAAATAGAAGACCCTGATGGCCCTGAAGCCAAAAAGTAAGTGTTTATTTATAATGAAAATGGATTCTCTTACCGTATCTATACCGAAATGTTGTCTGTTTTAGGTTTATACCGGAGGCAACTTTGGAAGTTGGTGATCAGGAAGTCACTTTCGACTTTTTTGCAAAAAATATAAAAATAGAAGCGGATGATTCTTATGAAAATGGTATGGATTAATATGAAAAATGTATACATATCACTTCTGTTAGTGCAAAAGGTCGTGTGTAACAATTTTACATGTTTATTCTCTTTACTCTTAAGGTGAAAGTTTGTAGTCTGCAACTGCTATAAACAGTCTGTTTAATAGACAAATAGCAGAAGAAAATAAAATATGAAATTATACTGATAAATCATAAATAAATAATCAATTTTTATGCTCTGTTGTGAAAAAAAGTTAATTTTTACATTCCAACCTTTTGCACTAACAGTAGCGATATCTACTTCCATTGTGTTTTGCATATGTATTTAAACTATAATTTTAATTTTTCTCCCATGAGGGCAGTCTCTTGTTTTTGTCTGTAAAGACTCTTATTGATGTTAAATCATTGTTATTTGACTGTTCAGTAATTCTGCTGGCAAATTTGGAAAATAAGTCTGGCTGTAGTGATTTCTATTTGATGATACTAATTTGTGAAATAGTTTATTCCATCTTCAATACTATCTATAATTAACATAATATCTTGATAGATTTGTCTACCTAGACAAGGTACTAGTTCTCTTTCACTATTCCATGATGGCGGCTGGTTTCAAGATCACCCATTGCACACTATTCCCAAATTTCTGATCAATGGAAAAATTAACCGATTATTGACAATTCTCTTTACATTAGATATAATGCCTTTACTTACACATATTGTTTATGTTAGGTTATATCCTCCCTTTTTCCTTTCACTTACCCATATATGTAATATATAGTAAGAGAAAGTATTGCGATTGTGAAAATTTTCAAATCTGAGTTTTCAACAAAAAATATGTTTTGAGGTTCCCTGAGTCCAAATAACCAAAATAACAAAATTTTCTGTATTTTGTATATTGTGTATAACTGTATTTTGTTTTTCTGTTGTCATTACAGACCATGTAGATCTTTTGCCATCTTAACAAGCCTGCTCCATCTCTGCCTGTCTTGTGCAATTTCTTTCCAGCTCTATAGCACCTTTGTTCATTCTATGTATTCATCTGCTTTTTGGCCTTTCATGTTGTCTTTTGTCTACTGTTGTGGCATTCATTGCTGCTTAAAAGCTTTCCGATGGATTGCTACAACTAATATTCCCGCCCATCTTAACCTTCATACAAGCATACCTTTATATCATGAGATATTGATTGATTAGTTTCTGTACACAGTTCTTTATTTGTTCTTTTCCTCCATGTGTTACACTTAGATCTTAGAACCCTCCAGTTAACATATGTAGAATTTTTCTATGAAATCTTTCAAAACTTCTTTCTAGGGTTTAATTATCAGCTCTCACAGCCCTGTATCAGAACTGGCTTTATCATAGCATTTTACAGTCTTAATTTGAGATTTTAGTATCTTTGAAAGAGAGAACAAAGTTCTGTTTGCACTTATTACATGTTGGTCTATTTCCGACAGTTGATCATTCAATGAGATTATTGTGGAATTAAGGTATTAGAATTTATAGGAACAATTCTTATTGGAACAATTTCTCTTCACTGATCCTGTTTTTGTGATGTAATATTTTCCCGCCATACCATTTCCATCCTAAAACGTCTTAACTACTCCCGTCACCTATTTCCTTTTGAAACCCGTAGGCTCCTAGTCACTTCCTTAATTTTTCCCCACTTTGACTATTGCTGTACGGTATATGGGGGCCTCTCTGGGGATCTCGAGGCGAAACTAAAACGTTTGATAAATTGCTTTGTACGATTCATCTTCGGGATCCCAAGGGACTCCTCTGTTTCCCATCTTTACGCGGAGTTAAATTGGCTTTATCCTTCCTACCGTCGTAAGTATTTCCTGGCATCCTTCCTCTTTCAAGTCATCCAATCCCACCGTCCCTCATACATCTCCGAGCTCATTCAATTCAAATCCTCTGTTCGTTCCCGCAATACTCGTTCCCGGTCTTCTGATTTATACATAAGGGCCCACCGAACCGCTGCTTTCGACAAATCATTCATTATCCGATCCTCATCTCTATGGAACTCCATCCCTTCCCATATCTGTCAATCTAATACCCTTCCTACCTTTAAATCCCGCCTGTTCAATCATTTCTTATCCATCCAGTCCCCATAAAATCGTAAATAGATACTACTGAAAATATGTACATAAGTTATTAGGTCGTTCTTCATTATTTGTTCTCCAATTTTTGTTTATCTATTTTTTTTTTTTTCTCTTTTATTATCAACTGATCAAAATTGGAAAGCAACTTATATGTATATGTGTATATATATATATATATATATATATATATTTTTTTTTTTTTTTTTCAACCAAGACTATTCAATTACTCTGTATTTTTATTTATATATCTCTGAGGCTCCTTAGCCCTCATTTCTGTCTTCCTGTATTATTCTAAAGGGACTCGTCCCAGAATAAATAAAGTATTATTATTTTCTCTTTATTTTTCACATATACAATGGTGTTTAAATTATGTAATAGTTGGGGACCTATTAGGTCAGCCAAAAATTACATTTGTATATTTTCTTAATTATTTTATATTTGTGAACTTCCTGACAATATTTGCTGTTCCCAACAACACCGCTTGTTGCATTCTTTCGATCGTCTGAGATGGTAGTTCTAGTAGTCGCAGAGAAGATACAGTTTCTTCCGGTATCAGTCCGTTGCACGAGATTACAATTGGCAGAATTCGGGTTTCCTTCAAATGATATAATTGTTTGATCTCTTCAGCCAATTTTACGTACTTTCTCTTTTTTTCTGCTACTACCTTGTGCAGGTTATCATCAGAAGGAACTCCAATCTCTATGATAAACGCAGATTGCTTACTTTTATCTATTATAAGAATGTCTGGTCTATTGTGGGGGATGGTGTGATCCGTCAGGATCGGTTGGTCCCAGAACACCTTGACATTGCGCATGGAGTTAATTGGTTCTGGATGGTATCTATAATACGGACAATACTTATCGACGAGTTCCATTTTCTGAGCCATAGCTTGATGCACCACCTTAGCTGCATTGTTGTGTCTCTGCAAATATTCCTTACCAGCAAGTATTGTGCATCCCGATGTTACATGTTGAATTGATTCAACTGCCTTTTTGCATAAGCGACATAAGTCATCGATGGCCTCTCCACATATATGTTTTCTGTATGCTTTTGTGGCTATTACCTGTTCTTGAATAGCAAACAAGAATCCTTCTGTTTCCGGAAAGATACTTCCACTCTTCAGCCATGTCAATGACGCCTCAGCGTTCACTCCTACATCCATTAATGAGTCATAAAATCGTCCGTGTAAAGGTTTATTTTTCCATATTTTTGATCGCGTGCCATCATCTGCTTCACTAATCGGGATTCCAGGGCTTCGTAAATTCAAAGCTGTATAATTTATATCTAATGATGCGATAGTTGAAAGGATATTGGAAGTATGGTTTATAATGTAGTTGCGAAGATTATTTTCTTCCTTTCGGCATAAATTCAAGAGGCTGACTAGACCACGCCCTCCCGATTTCCTAGGAAGATACAATCTCACTACAGATGACTTTGGATGCCTCTTCCTTGAAAGCACCATCTGTACTCTAAGAAAACGATCCAACCTTTCTAAATCGGTTTTAGTCCACTTCAGTACCCCAAATGAGTAGGCTAAAGCAGGTATTGCCCAGGTATTCAATGCCCGTATCAAATTTCTTCCACTTAAATGTGATTTAAGTACTAATTTAACACGGTATTTAAATTCTTCCTCAAAGTTTTTCTTTGAATTAGCATTGAATTTCAGAAGTTGGTGTACTCCAAGGTACTTGTAAGAATCAGATTCTCTCAATTGATTCATTATTACATTTTCCGATATCTCAATATTACTCCCCTTAATAACTCTTTCCTCTTTTCACGTGTACTATTGCACATTTATCTATTCCTAGATCCATTTTTATATCATTACTGAACGTTCTTACTGTCTTCAGAAGAGCTTCCATTTCGTCTTCATTCCTAGCGTAAAGCTTGAGGTCATCCATATAGAATGAATGAGAAAGCTTCATTTCAGAGTTAAGTGGGTACCCTTTATCTGTATCAGCCAATAATTTGCTAAGTGGATTAAGCGCCAAACAAAACCATAGAGGACTAAGGGAGTCCCCTTGAAAAATACCTCTCTTTATAGATATGTATTCATTGGAACTCATTCCATTCAAAGTTGGTGTGCTGATTGAGACCCTCCAAATTTTCATCAGTCGTTCTAATAGATCTATTATTGCCTGGTTTACTTTATAGATTTTCAACACTTCCAGAAGCCAATCATGGGGAACCGAATCGAAGGCTTTACGGTAGTCGATCCAAGACAATGTAATATTACGAGATTTTTTTGTAACTTGAGCAGCAATAAAAGAATCGATAATCAGAAGTTCTTTGCAACCTTTTGAACCTGCCTTAATACCTAACTGTTCCGCTGCCATAATACCCTTTTCCTCAATGTAATCTGTCAACTTATTCCTGATTACAGCCGTTAGTAATTTGTACACACCATTAAGACAAGTTATGGGTCTCAAATCCTGTGGCTCCAGCCTGTTTTTGCTTCCTTTCTTTATTAAGTGAGTCGTACCGGTACAGAACTTCACTGGTAAGTCAATCTCTTCAGACAATAGTTTCTGATACCACACAGCTAGGTGGCTATGAACACTGCTAAAGGACTTTAGCCAGTAATTTTGTATTTTATCTGGACCAGAAGCTTTCCAGTTTTTCATTTGCTTGAGTGCCTTAGTCACATCTTCCACAGTGATACTGGTTGCTTCCATAGGTTGGAGATCTGATAAGCTATGGCGAATATTTTCCAACCAATTTGCTTCATTGTTAAAACATTTTTTACTTTCCCAAATACCTTTCCAATACTCTGATATTTCAATAGGATCTGGATAGACATCGTTATTATTTTCCTTTTTAGGTTTTAAAGATTTATAAAAATATTGTTCTCTTTTATTAAATATTGAATTTTGTCTCCTTCGATCATGAGCTTCTGTATACCTCCTAATTCTATTTGCTAACACTGCTAATTTCTGCTTGAGCGTTTCCATATAAACACCAACTTTTTTATTTAACTCACTTCTTACTACTCCTCCAATATTTAATACAATAATTTCATCAATTTTTTTCTTTAGTTTTAAAGAAGCATTTTCTGGGTTCCGAAGGTAATTAGTAATAATTCCGATTTTACACCGTATATTTTCGATCTTTTTTTTAATTCTTCTCTTCCAGGGAGGATCTTTGCAATCATTAGTTTTATTACAATTCACCTTATCTTTTATCAAACCTAGCTCCATCGAGACAGTTCGGGCCCCTACGTATATCCAATGACATATCTCTTCTAGAGTTATACCCATCGACATATGCTCAGCAAGTATCTCGTTGACGGTGTTGACAGCGGATAAAGTTCTTTTGGAATATGGTACCTTTGGTATAGAGGGTCTACTGTCCAAAGGTACTCCTTCATACATTATGTGTTCTCTTAATAGTATATTACGCATCTCTATAATGTGTGACGCTTTTTGGGTATTCACAGAAGTCGTTTCCAATTGCATAATCGCCGAGGATTCTGCCTCTTCTACTTGTTGTATTTCTATCTGTGAGTTTCGGGCAAGTATATTACCTGCGTCTGTTCTGATTGCATTAATTTCCGATTCGGATAAAAACTGGCATTCTAATATTTGCTTGACCTGGTCAGCGAGTCTTTGAGATGATACAGCTATATGCGGATATTTTTCATTCCAGTGACGATTGATTCTTTTGCGATATCCTGTTTTTCTTTCTCTAAGTTTGTAGCCAATAAGTAAGCTCGGATAGCAGCAATATTCATATTGCGGTCCCACTTCATCCTTCGTTGCCTACCTATTTGGCCAATGATTCCTCTTCCTCGCGCGGGAGACTCAACGGTATCCAAGCACGGTTCAGAGTTTAATGATGAAAGTCCTATGGCAGCCGGTCTTACGGGAACATACGACACCGAGGCACCGCTCGCACCACCTGCAGATGTCGAAGGCTGAATATCCAATCCCTCCGAAGCAGCCCTTACTTCGGATTCGTCCGAGGCTATTTGTTTCCTAGTTCGCACCATTTTGATGGGTAGATGCATTTTATACCTGCTGCCAGGTCATCCTAGGGGAGGTAGCCCTAGGGTGTGTACTGTCTGTGTCCTTAGTGTCAGTGTAAATTTAGTGGACGGTTGTGTGTTTATCTGTAGGTGGTGTACTGTACTCAAGAAACCGGGGGATCGTAAAACCCCTGCAACTGCACCTATCAGTTGCCCCTTGCGGCAGTATTATTATTATTATTATTATTATTAATATTTGGTATATTATCATATATTTTGTTTTATCAGTTATATTATCTGCATATCCAAGGATTTAATATTTTATTTTATTTTAGCTTTATTATCTTCTTTCACTATTTGGTTGCCTACTAACATACTTTTAATGGTGTATTATATTGCATAGTATTGTACTTGTTAAGGCATATTTCAATGGATTTTGTTGCATATAAATCCAGATCTTACTTATTACAGTGAGTTGTTAGGAAATAACCTCTAGATCTATCAGAAATCCCATAGTTGTGGTCTAAATAAAGCAATATAATAATTTTAATAATAACTGATACAACTTATCCCCATTGATGTCACTTTACAGGGCTTAAATGCCCAATGTTCATATACGTCTTCCTCTAAAGTACCTTTAATATGGTTTATTTTAAAAAGTTAATTATTTCGCATTATTCAGAGTTACGAAAAAATGCTAAATATAACTTTTGAAAGAATTTGATAAGTTAATAAAGGAGAAAAATGCAGAAAAACGTAGCTATAGACTGTAGCGCCTAAACGAATGTACCGATTTCATTGAAACTTCGCTAAAGTCATTTTCTCCACATCCTTCAAATTTATCTATATAACATACTTCAGCGAAAAGAAGCTGGGAAAAAAGTTACGAGGGATGGTAAAATTAAATTCCGAATAACTCAAAAAGTATACACTTTTTTGCCAATGTTGTATATGGTTTTCTAAAAGTTTATGGATTAGCCTAAAAAACAAAAAAAAAAAATTGTTAAAATTGGACAATTAGGAGATAAGATATGGTCTCTAGTTTTTGTTTTAATACGTTCTGCTGCAATGGTTATATCCTTTGTTTCGGTTTTTGAATTTTGAATGTGTTAATATGGTAATGCTAATTTTTTTAGCATATTACTAATGATTATAAAGTATTTCTCTCTAAATAATTAGGTATTAAAGTTTATTCCAAAATATTGTCATATAACTTTTTAGAAAACTAAATTAGTGAATAATTCGATAGATCTTCCCTTTGTGATGTTCCACTAGCATTTCATTGTACTTGTGTGAAAAAAGAAGTGAAATACAAAAATATTTCATAGATACGTTTATAACCCTAAATATATTTACTGTAGTTTAATAACTCTAGATCTCATAATATATTTAAATATTTAGATATCTATCGTCCGTTTATTCCGAAAAATCATCATGTAACCTTTTAGAAAATTAAATTAATGAATAGTTTGATAATTTTTCATTTTGCGATATTCCAACAGAATCCACTTACAGTTAGTGTGACAACTTTTGACCTGTCTATGACAGACACTGCAAATCTCTTAATTCCGTTTTAATAAACTTTGCAATGGAAAATAACAGTTTAATGACTTATAGTCGTACAATGCATAATCAATGGATCGAACAACCCATATTCAACGAATCGTACAATCCATAATCAACCGGTGATATAATAAATAGGACTTTTATTATTTTAATAGCATTTGTGATATGTTAGCTTTAGCTCAGTTTAAAATGCAATTTAAAAAATTTTATAATAGCCTAACATGGCCAGAAAATAATTTTTATTCAAAGTTCAAAGAGTAAGTGAAAGTTGTGTGTTGCACGCACCAGATTTTTTAATTTAAATTCCACAAAGAATTTCAATTTTTTTTACAAACTCTGCTACACTCAGAAATTTTTAGAATTCTATCTACTGTGTGATCATTTCAGCTTGTACCTATCTGCCTATAGCCATGCTAATTGGTTTATTCTAAATCATTTGTGGAAATAAGAGTCCATCTATCTCGGTACTGTAGATCTTTTCATCTTTTGAGAAAGATGCAAAGAGATCTTTTTCAATTTTTGTTATAGTTATCTACGTTTCTGATCCATTATAACTGATCCATATACTTACATTTTCTTACATTTATCTCCAATCCAAGTGCTCTGGCAGCCTCCAATAGGGCCAAAAATCCTTCTGCTCTGCAACAGAATGCTAGATAAAATCTTCTATCCACAAGAGAAATACCCATGTAATTTTGACATTGGAATTTGTCCTAGGAAGAGGGATAGCTCAGTGGTAGGGCACTCAGCTTCCAATAATCAAGGTCCCAGGTTTGAATCTGACTCATGGCAGAAAAGTTATTTATCTGTTTCATCGGTCATGGGGCGACCATAGGGTAAAGAGACCCTCCTGGGGCACACCCAACCTTTATAAAGAAAGTACCCTTAATTAAAATAATTAATTAAGTGGGAAAACTTTTTTTTCACCCTATCTGCCATTGCTATCATACAGGGTTTTGGCAGCAGTGGGTTAATTTGTTGGAGTTCTTATATGCCAACTTCTGCCAATAAACAAAACAAGGGAGAAAATCTGGCGGTTGAAAATCTTGGCCCGGTCTCCTCTCTGCACAACTGTTGTCCTTGTAACAGTACTTTCCCTAAATAGTACTGAACCCACGACCCTTCATGGGTTGTAAGTGGTAAAGGAATTTGCCCTCTTATTGAAAATGGGTCATATGCTGACTTCTCCCAATCTTCTGGTAAAACCTCTTCCTCCCGGATAGTTAAAATAAGATTCTGAAATCTCTTTGTCAGCTCCTCATCTCCATTCTTGAAGAGTTCAGCAGGTAGGTCATCTACTCCCGGTGTCTTATAATTCTTTAGCCGATCAATGATGGCCATTATCTCATCATCAAGTGGTTTAAGGTTATATTCCTGGTTCCTTACTGTCAAGTCTTCAAGTCAAGGGGGCTGAGTTGAGTAGCTCCTCAATGTAACTTTTTCCACTCTTGCTGGCCGCACCATTTCCATCCTTTTCTCTTCCAGTACCTTGGGTCTTCTCCATCTATTGATGTTCTCGAAAAATTCTCTTGATTTCTTTCCCCTTCCAAAATTTTACAGTCTACTCTCTTAGCTTCTGCTTTCTTTGATGCTGTCATTTTTTCTCTCTCCTCTTCTTTTTATATTCTGTGACAGCTGTCCGAGTCCCTTTCCTCAATATATTCTTAAAGTAATATCTCAACATATTCGTATTTATTATTTGTATTAGTGACTGCCTTACATTCTCGATCTAACAATGGTGATCTCATCTCATTTTCTCTCAGTCCTAGTATATTATCAACCGTTTCCTGCTTGGCAGTCATACAGCTAGACCAGAGGGATTCTGTGTTTTCCGTATTTACAGCCTGAGCACGGAGGTCCTCATTTAGATGCTCAAGTACTGTTTAGTATCTGATTCCTGTAACATTCAAAGATTACAATGCTTCGGCTTTATGGCTGGGTCTCGAGACCATTTGAAGGAGAGCTTAGGAGTGATGTAGGTAATACACAAATCGTGTTCCGAATCCGCATTCTTGCCAAAGCATGTTCTCACATTTTGAAAGCTGGACTTATACCTTTTATCGATAAGGGTGTAATCTATTTGGTTAACATGTTCTCTACTTATTGAGGTTCAGATGCTTACATGAATATCCTTGTGTGTGAAAAGGGTATTTTCAATGATCATGTCTCTGAAGGGTGCAAAATTAATAAGCCTTGTTTAATGATTGTTAGATTGGCCATGGAGACTATGGTTGGAAGGGAAGGTATACCTCTTCTTTTCCTATCTTTGCATTACAGTTTCAAATATATATATATTTTTTTTATACCATACATGTTTCTACAGATTGCCAATGTTATTCTCATATATTTTTAAATTCATACCTGTGATTCATGATTTAATTTTCAAAAATAAAATAATCTTTATATTAGAATGATTGGATCTTGTACCCAACAGCATTGTTATTTATCTTTGTGATTATTATTTTTATAAATAATCTTAAAATAATTGATAATGTCGCACACATATACTAGAAATAGAAAATAACTTTATTCTGTGACAAAGTCCCTTTAGAATAACGAAATTAAAAGACTACATCTGGCCTAAATAAAACAATAACAAAAAAAGAAAAAGTAAAGAAAATATTAGTTAAACAATCTATACACAAAAAAAAAATCTATGTACAAAACACTTAAAACTATGTACAGTAGGAAAAAATTATAATTATACCCTTTTAAGAAAAATAAATAAAAAATGCATTGAGTTCTTCTTTAAAATAAACTCTGTTTCTGGTAACAAAGGGAAGACGAATATGAAAATATAAAATGTCAGAGTATTTAAATAATGAATAATATGTAAACACATCATTATCTTATTGTAACTATAGGTACAGCTTTAGTTGTATAAGTATAAAATATAATTGTAAAAACAAACAATAGGCGCATTAAGAGTAGGGAGATGTTGTAATATCTCTAGTGAAGTTTACTAAATGGGATTTTACTATCATTTGATGATGAATGATATAATAGAAATGTTAGCAAGTATCTGACTGTTTTTAACTGATCTGAGTTCGCTAAATAGCTGAATTGTTTTTTAAAAATTATTTGTTGGATTTGATGAAGAATTAACAAAGGTATCAACATACCAGCAAAAAAAAACTTTCAGAAACAATATATAAAAATACCAATAATCATTGATTTTTTCTAACAGATGGATTTCTAAATTCCTTTTGCTGTCTACCATTCCAAAGAACCAAGTTTATTAACAATTAGTTAATAATGAAACATTTATTTATGCATGCATAACAGAAATAAATTCCTAATATTTTTTTATTTATTTTATTGAAGGTCAAAGTTATTTCAATTGCACTCACACTTATTTATCAGTAACTGATTTAATTTGTCACTGTCTCTCTGATGATAGAAAAATATAAAATAGGTTATGTTATGCACCTTGTATAACATGAGCAGAAGATAAAAAAAGTAAATAGATCTGATCTGTTTGTAAATATAATATGTAATGTGAAATACTGATTAAATTTTTTTTTTATATAAGTTGGTTAGATTTAAAAATTGCCTTTTACTTCTTTTGTTCCATTTTTTTCTATGCTCAAAAACTAGATTTTATTTTATGTAAATTAAAGTTCTGTAATCATTAAATTTCATGTTAAATACTTGTGTGTTGATTTTTCTGTTTAATGTTACCATTAGGCTTTTTTTTTCTTAGATAGCGGTAATGAACTGGCAGATGGCTTTATATCTAACATTCCTGATAGTCCTGATAACCAGAATTTTGATGTTAATTCTGAAACGTGAGTACATTTTTTAAGTTTCTTAGTTATGGCATTTCTTCCTTTACTTTTAAAATTAATAATTATCAGATTTTTTTTTTTTAATTTTGTCATGTTAAGTGTAACATTAGGTATTGCTAACAAAAGACCAACGTTCTATGGAATTTTGCCCATCATGATTTTTTTTCTATTTTCTGAATAATTATAATTTATCAGTTATCAAAGTTGACAAATCTTATTTATACAGAATTATAAATTGAATTGTGATTGTCAAGACCAACGATTATAGTATATATTTTTTCAAAGATATGTTCAATTGTTATCATATTATATTAATTTCGGGGAGAGGGAAGGTTTGTAATTACAGTTCCAAATGGAATTTTTAAAATCAAACCACCTGACTCACTCACCTGAGTGAAATTTTACCATATTATCACCAAATTATTATTATTTTTTTTTTTTAATTTATTACCGACTACATATATGATTTGGTATCTGCTTTTAAATTCTCTTACCGAGACTTTTGTACTCCAATTATTAATCTTATAAATTATGTCTCAACTATCTGAATTAGAGTTTAGATATAAATTAGTTCTGCATTACATTGTTAATGTTTCGGTTATGTTTTCCAAGTATACGGTTTTAATGAAGGGAAAATATGTCCCGAAACATTAGAAATGCAATTATATGTTACAAATAAATTAACAATTCACAAGGAAGTTATAATTGCTAACCTCACAGGTATAACAAAAATTTACCAACATAAAAGAAATAAAAAGAATAAAACTAGAATCAAATAAGTCTTAATCTTATTTGAGAGAGAATGATTTATATATGTTGCAGAAATGATGAAAATATTATTGTGCTTCACATGGATATCCGAGACCCATTATATACCTTACGCGCTCTTCTAGAAGAAGAAATAGGTGGAAAATTTGATGATTTTTCTTTTTCTCTCCAAGACAGTCAAAGTGTGAGTTTTTATTATTATTATTGTGAACCTATTGAAGTATTAATGTTGTTTTTTATTTATTTATTTTTTTTTTCAAAAAACGTGACCTTCATTTTTGAACAAATTGTTGTAACTTTCATAATTCCACTATGACCTATATTTCATTTGAAATTATTAGTCACTCAATAGTTTGAGTGCATTTTCATAATGCTGGACAAATGTAGCAACTAAACTATTAAAACTGTAGTTGGGCGGTCAGTCAAAAAGGAAGGCAAAAATAAATGATAATATTTATTTTTACATATGCCGACGTTTCGACCTGAAGTTCAGGCCTTCATCAGGGCTAAGAAAATAACCAGATAACAAGGAATGAGAAACATAAGTAGAGATGGTAAAAAAATAAATAAATAAATAATAAAAAAATAAAAAATAAAATAAATAAATATAAAGTAAAATGAAATTGTTAGAATAATGACTAAGAACTAAGAGATAAATAATAATAACTGTTACAAAGTGTGGAATGATGAAGTAGGCATAATCAAAAAGGGTGACATAAGTGTTACAATGGGAATCTTAGAATAAAATGTAAAACATAAAAAAGAAATATGAAGTTATATAAGAAATGAAAATAAATAGTAAAATTAAAACATTGAGAATGGAGTAGTTAGATAGAAAATTGACTTATATTTCTCATATAAATTACTTATGTTTCTCATACCTTGTTATCTGGTTATTTTCTTAGCCCTGATGAAGGCCTGAACTTCAGGTCGAAATGTCGGCATATGTAAAAATAAATATTATCATTTATTTTTGCCTTCCTTTTTGACTGACCACCCCAATTATTCTTCTCTTATCCACGACAGTCAACCAATTAACAATTATTAAAACTGTATTTTATTTGTTGCTAAGCAACTACAATTGTGTATAACTGCCCTCCAGTAATAATTTATGTTTTGCTCACTACACTACACCTAAGTTTGTCATTAGAAATCAGGCCTTTCTCATGCCACATAATATGTTGCATTTCATAAGGGATCTCATTATGATGATTAAATTTATAACTTTTTTCTTATTGAAATTGTTTAATTTTTATTCTATTGATTTTTAATATGGATAATGATTAGCTTTTCAATCGGGAACAATCATTTAATGATTTATATTTATACAAAACCATTCTCAAAATTTGTTTTACTGATTTTTTTCTACTCTATAGTTGGAAGATCATAAAAACCTGGTAGATCAATGTGTACAAGGTGAAGGAAGAGTTCAGATTAATGTGGAACTGAAAAATGACGAAAGAGGCAAAAGAATCAATATAGTTGATGTATTGAAGCCCACAGAAGAAGAACTAGTTGAAATTGGACAAGGAGGTAGTTATAAATTTATACTTAATTAATGTTAGCTATATGCTGTAAAAGAGCTAAATTATAATAATGATAAAATTGTGGAAAACATGCAAATAAGTTTGTTTTTGTTTTTTATTAAAAAGATATGAAATACAAATATAGTTACTATCTTGCAATAAATTATTCAACGTTATAATTTTATAAAGTAATTATTTATTTCAAGTTGTGAGGGTTATTTATATTAATTATAATATATAATAATTAAATCATTTAATTTAATATATAATAGTTAAATCATGGACTAATGGTTAATATTTTATTGTAATATAGAAAGAGATGACGATGAAGACGAAGATGAGGAAGAAGATGAAGATGCTATATCTGGTAATGGGAATATGGTCAGATGGACAGTTGATACAGTTTTTAAGAAGGACCAAGAAAGATTGAATATTCCTCAAGGTAATATGTAATTCTAATTATTACTAATCTATTCAGTACTAAGAATTCTTGTTAAAATGGGTTTGATTATATTTTAATTGCGGCGAATCAAATGGGCTCCTAAAATTGTTGGATTAGTAACGAAAGAATTCCTTAAAGATTAATATTTGTTGTACCGACTGGTAAACATCCGAGGAGTAGATCTTAGCTAAGGTGGGAAGATTGTGTTAGTGTGTAATAAGCGATTGATGGTGTAGGCATCGGACCGTCTGGTTCGCTAAGCCTTTTATTATTATTATTATATATATATATTCAATAGTTAAAATTTATATAATTAACTGTTAACAATATATGACTGTGACATGTAGAAGGCATGAACAAAATTCGTGGATATCAAACCCGCGAATATTGAGGGATTACTGTATTTCCGATAACGGCTTCTGCTGGAGATTTTATTCTCATATGAAAAATTATAGACCTTGAAATATAGATATTGTTTAGCCATTGAAAGCGGTGAGGAAGCTATACTGACCTTACTTGGCAGATTTTTTCCCATGTACTTGGTAGTTATTATGTCTAAAATGTTAGGTCTCAGAAATATGAGCCAAAAATTGGGATTTTTTTTTTTTTTTTGTTTTATCTTGAATCATGGTTGGTTGATTGGTTAGAACAGTATAATTTTAAAATATGATAAAAAGTTCACTTTACTAATTATTTTAACAATCATTTGAATGTTAATTGAAATCTTCTAGAGGCTTTGATAAGTTGACACTTTTAACTTACATTCTTAAGGTCTGATACACTATGTATCGCATTATTATTTATTAATTTTGGTTTATTATTTTCAATAATGAACCATTGTGATCGACCAAAAAATTCAATAACTTAACCCCCTCTCAAAATTTGAGGTTTTACATTTCAGGATACGTAGAATTCAGAAAAGGAATACAAATTTTTTTTCCGAAACTACTGGACTGATTTTTTTCAAATTTGATTATAAAATCAGAGGTCACCCGAGGATGATTCTCCTTCATCGACATTACCACCCGCCTTTTACTTTCAAAATGGCGGCCAAAAAAACCTGCGTTGCTATAGACTATAGCGTCTAAACAAATGCCGATTTCAATGAAACTTCTTTAAAGTCATTTTCTCGATGCCCTTTAAATTTATCTATATAACATACTTCAACGAAAAGAAGCTGGGAAAAAAGTTACGAGGGATGGTAAAATTAAATTCCAAATAACTCAAAAAGTATACACTTTTTTGTCGATGTTGTTATAAGATGTTTCAAAGGTATTTAAATTTCCTAAAGAATGAAGAAAGTTTCATCAAAATCAAAGCACTATTAGTAGAGATATCGCGATTTTAATATATTTTTGGTTTATTATTTTAAATAATGAACCATTGTGCTAGTTTTTTAAAAGTTTATGGAATTTCCTAAAAAGCAAAAAAAAAAATTGATAAAATCTGACAATTTGGAGCTTTTTTAAAGATATGGTCTCTAGATATTTTCTACTGCAAAGGTTACACCCCTTTTTTTTTTTTTGTTTTTTTAATTTGAATGTGTTACTAAAGTAATGCTAATTTTTTGTAGCATATTAGAGAATGTATAAAAAAAAAAAATTTAGTCCAATAATTGGAATCACCTTTTATTTATTTTTCATTGTAACTTGGAAGGTAATGTTACTTTAGATGTACAATTGTTTGGAAATAATAAACCATTGTGAAATAATTTGCAGCATTTTTTTATTGTAATTACCATTATCCCTGTTATCATATTATACTTTATCAATTTTTTTTTTAATTTTTAAATCATTAGATCTTTCCTTTAAACAGATCCAGAAAAGTGGGAACCTTCTCATGTTAGACATTGGCTGATGTGGGCTGTTCGTCAGTTTAATTTGTCTGGCATTCAACTATCACAGTGGTTGTTAAATGGACAAGATTTGGCTAAAATGACGCATGATGAATTTCGGACCAAAGTGCCTCGGGATCCTCAAAATACTTTTTGGACACATTTTGAATTGTTGCGAAAGTGTAAAATTGTAGGTGAGGATAAACTCTAAGAATTATCTCTATTTTTTTTTTCATTTAACATTTAACAAAGTATCATTTATCATTTATCATTTACTTTTACTTCCAGAAAAATAATTTTGTAAGCCCGATGTTTTATTTTATATTTTATGTCAAATTTATATTAACAATTCTTCATTTAACTTTTTTTTATTTTTGATAGCCATAACTCCCAAGCAAACTCCACGTATCAAGCAAGAAGTCCTAGACGAGGATGAAATTGAGGATGAGGGTGAGGAGTTAAGGAAAGAGGTGCTTCAGAAAAACAGACCACCGGAAAAAGTCCGAATGGTCAAAGCTGGAAAAAACTATCCCATAATTGGAATTCGTAATGAAATGAATGAAGATGAGTATCAGCGTGAGTGTATGGGTGATTAAAATATCCCAGATTCCTTTTGAAATTATGCTTTTTTTGTGAGTCTGTGCAAAAATACTAGCAATAAATTGACACATCAAATTTTCTGAGTGTTCAGTTTAATTTTATTTAACTATCAAACTCACCCTGTTTTATACTTCAATAACTTTAGATTCTATCCTATAATAAATTTTGTATGGTTTGCTGAGTAATTTTTTTTTTTTTTTAGCATCTACTGTTGGAGGGCCTGTTCAACTTTGGCAATTTTTGTTAGAATTACTCACAGATAAAAACCATAGAAATGCAATTCAGTGGCTTGAAAATGAAGGTAATTCTAAAGAAAATTATTTATTTTTTGAATAATAAAATGATTTAACCTATAACGAACTGTGCAAATTAGTGTATTAACAATCATTCTACTCATAAATATTTTTTTCATTTGATAAACTTTTATCCTTTTATTTTTAAGCATATGCCAGTACAGATTCTTGATAATAACTCACATTTTCTACAGAACGTAAATACTTTTGTTAATTGATAGTATCTTGAGCAAAGTTGGCTCAATGGGCGGTGGCTCGAATTAAATTGTGCTATGGGAAAATAACCATATCGCTGAAAATTTAAGGTATACTCGTGTCTTGGGCTATTTCTTTCCATTTATCTGCATTCTCTTCTATTGCATCTTTGTTGATTCTATCTATCCATTTGCTTTTTGGTCTTCCATGTGGTCTTTTGCCTTCCATTGAGGCATTCATTGTTAGGTACAGGCTTGCAGATGGATTGCTACGAGCTACGCCCATCTTAACCTCTTTGCCTTCATATCATGGGATATTGATTGAGCAGTTTCTGTAAGCAGTTCTTTATTGGTCTTTCTTCTCCATGTGTTAGTACTCTGATCCCAGATCGCTCTGCTTATCGTGCAAAGGATTTTTCTCTCAAATCTTTCAACACTCTTTACTAGGGTGCTGGTTTCTGTTCAGATCTCACAGCCATTTATTAGAACTGGCTTTATCATAGCATTGTACACCTTTAATTTAAGATTTTTGTGGATTTCAACGCCTTTGAAAGAAAGAAGACAGTTCTGTTTGGGCTATTTATACGCTGATCTATTTCTGCCCGTTGGCCATTCATTGAGGTTATTGTGGAGTCGAGAATTTTTCTATTCTCGGGAATGATTTTCCTTCTACGCAGATCCTGTCACTGGGATGAAACTTTCACCTTTTTATCATATATTTTGTTTTGTCTTCATTTACTTGAAGAATCTGTTCTGTCCCTCTTATCAGTCTTAGTGAGTTTCTCATACAGGTGAACAGAAATATTTCAAGAACAGCTATATCATCTGCGTTTCCAAGGATTTTATGATTCATTCCGACATGGACTCCATTTTCCTGAGATGTTGTTCTTATTGCCTTCGCCAGGGCTAAGTTGAACAACATCGATGATAGTCCATCTCTTTGCCATAAACACATTCGAACTTTGAACGCTTCAGATCTATCATTCAGGTTCATGCTTCTCCCTTTTCTGAATCCAACTTGGTTGCCTATTATATTTTCATAATACGAATATATCTGGTTGAGTAGAATATTGGTCATTATCTTGTAGGCAACTGGAGTGTTATGCCTCTGTAATTACTACACTCATACATGGAGCCTTTTTTTAGGGTAGGACAGATTACGTCTGTATTCCAAGCCTCAGGTATCCTTTTCTCTTCCCATATTTTCTGGTTTAGTTTTAGTAGCTTGGCTCTGAATTCATCTCCCCCATCTTTAAACAGTTCTCATGGTAGATTGTCTATCCCTGGGGCCTTTCTTCTTTTGAACCTTTTGATAACTATTTCCACATCCAGTATATCTGGTTTTTCAACCTCTTCTGGGCCAAGGTCCTCAATGGTCCATGTCTTCTTTGTTTGTGGGGTCTCCTTGATTGAAAATTTCCTGGAAATATTTTTTCTGTATGTTTAATTTCTTTTCTTTAGATGCTATCGGAATGGTATCTTTTCCTTGCATTTGCCATTTGCGTGTTTCTCACTTTATATCCTACCCTTTCTTTCCTAATGTCTGCGTAGAATTTCCGTATATCTCCATCCATCCAGTTGTCCTCACTGGTTTGTGAAATTTCTTTGAGGAATTCCCTTTTTGCCGATCTTATAGTTTTGTTTTCTTTCTTTTTTTTGACAGTTGTGTATTTGTCCTGAGCAACTTGATCAGTTGTAGTTAGGCAGAGGACTTTCATTTTTCTTCTTTCCTCTACTGCCTTTTCGCATGCTTCTGTGAATCACATCTTAGCTTTTCGTTTCTGCTGAATACTGATCACTTCATTAGCTGTTCCTTTTAGTCCTTTCTCTATTTCCTCCCAGTGTTCGTCCACTGTGAGGCTATCCGAATCCAAGGATTTGAATCTATTTTTCAGCTCAAATTGGAATTTGGTTTTTACTTATTAACTTATTATAAACATAATTTTGATTTAATAACATAAACATAATAATCCAATATTATAAATATAACTAAATAAGTTACGATTTAGTTCGGGCCCGTCCAATAGAGCGAAACATAAATTGCAGTGCCAGCATGAACATATTAATATCTGATCTTATATATTTAGAATCATTAAGTGTATTGTCAATGGGTTTATTAAGGCTCATTTTTATTTAATTTAATAAGTGTATAATTTACATATTTATATGTCATTCTTTTTTGTGTTTTATTTATTTGTATGCTTTTTTAGGTGAATTTAAACTAATTCACCCTGAGTTAGTTGCTCATTTATGGGGATTAAGGAAAAATAAACCTACTATGAACTATGAAAAGTTAAGCCGAGCTCTTCGCTATTATTATGATGGAGACATGATTTCAAAGGTTTCAAAATTATTCTATACTATTTTATATAATTAAAAGTAACACATTTAATTTCTTTTCCAATTTATATTTTGTAATATACAACTTAATTAAAATTTATTGAGGGTGAATTGGTGTAACAGTTTAAAAGTAAGCTAATCTAGTTTCACTAGATCAGGGAAAAGAGAATGGCTGCTCTGCAGTTTTCCCAAAAAGGAAAATCCCAAAGAGGGGATTATGGGACAATAGCCCTTCAAATAAATTAAAGGCGATAAAAAAGGAAGTGAAGCCATGGAGCAGTTCCAGTCGCAGTAAACGTAGAGAGGAAGTTGTCCTTGCGCAACTAAGAATAGGTCATACCAGACTTACGCACCTTCACTTAATTATGAAAGAAAACCTGCCCATTTGTCGGAAGTGTGGAGATAGAATGACAGTGGTCCATATCTTCGAGAGTTATGCCTTTTACATTAGGCAATTAAACATAAGGGGAATACCTGCAAATACACCAGCTGCTTTGGAAAATGATGAAAAAATCTTAGGAAAATCATATTTTTTCTCTTCGAAGAAGGAATCTTAAAAAATATCTGAACCTCTCACGCAGCACTCCCCCACCTCTTTTTTTGCTTTTACCTTTTTTTTCCTTTTTTTTATTTTTATTCCTTTTTACCTAATATGTAAACTTTAAATAACTAAACTTTAATAACAATAAACAACTTTTAACCTTAACGTGCATTCTACATCTTTTTAATGTTATCCAATTCTTAATATTTATAACCAAAAGATATAGTAATATATATTTTTAATTAACGGGGTTGATGACCACCAATTTAATATGTTAATTCTCTTATAATTTTGTTTATTATTTAAAAACCTCTTATTTATTTATGAATTATTCCAACAGTGTATAGTGATCTTCCGAGGTTAAATTAATATGATTATTTGTAAAATATAAGAGAGATGTTGCAATATATATATATGCAATGCCATAAGTATTTAATACAATATTTAAATGGAAACAGAAACACTTAAAGAGGTTATTATCTACCAAGATCTTATCAGTAACAAAAATATTCATTTAGACCATGGTCCGATTTCACTCAGAGATAATTAAAACTATTTTAATGGAGCTTTTATTGTTCTACTTTTCATAAAATAATATATTATTTGTAATTTTTTTTCATCATTCTTCTACTTCAACTACAGTTTCCCCAATTTTAGAAGAACTTCCTTCTTTAATTAGCTTTAAGCCCATAACTAAGTTTAGTTCAGAATAAGCTGAGAGTGGTCTCTAATTTTGTAAAATAAAATTATGTAATGTGTTTCCTCAAAGTATCAGTATTTTTTGAAAAATAATCAGAATAAATTACTATGAATCTTTTCTTTTTTTATATGACCTGGAATGTATTTTTAATAAATTGGTTTATGAAAACATGAAAAAAAATATTTCTTTCAAAGGGGCAGAGCACCGATGATTTTTACATATATCTCAATTATGTAAGTCTGTCCTTATTGTATTAGACGACCTACTAAATAATTTCTTCTTCTAATCCTAATTCTAATATTTAGGTTACCATAAAAATAAAACAAGCGATTGGCAGGTTTCATTTTTTTATATAATAATAAGCTATTACCTTATAGTTTTGCCAATGTCCTCTATGTGTATGTGAGTATATAAATGATTTTTATTTTTACAGGTTCATGGTAAACGATTTGTTTATAAATTTGTTTGTGATCTCAAGCAGATGTTAGGGTATAGTGCCTCTGAATTAAATGCTCTTGTCATCGAAGCAGAGCTAAAGGCTAAACATAGGAATAAAATTATTCAGGTAAAGTTTTCAGTTTTTACTTTCATTTACCTATATATGTGATATACAGTTAGGGAAAATATTGCGATCCTGAAAATTTTCGAAACTGAGTTTTCAAAGGCAATACACATTTTGAGGTCCCCTTAGTCCAAAGAACCAAATCCTGCAAAATGGTCTGTGTGTGTGTGTGTGTGTGTGTGTGTGTGTGAACAGTCTAGCTCAAAAACGAAAAATCATAAGAAACTGATATTACGTATTTAAGACTGATGACAGATGTTACAACTTTTTCCTTACGACTGACCAGCGTAACTGAACTGAGCGCAGCAAGAGGGGGTCGCCAACCGAATGTGGAGCTAAGCTCAGCTCAGTCAGTAGCTTGCCTTTCATCGGGATCCTTCTCATATTCTGTATAACAAAATATATATATATATATATATATATATATAGAGAGAGAGAGAGAGAGAGAGAGAGAGAGCATATATAACACTTTAAAAAATTAGCAAAGTTGATCATGTCGGAGTTGAAAAGAAAAATCAAATATTTTTCCTTATACATTCGTTTAAGAATTCTTCCACATCCATTCCATATTTTACATTGAACCAAAATAAAATAATTTGAAAGGCTGTGTAGTAAAAACAAGCGGATAACATTTTTAAAAATATACATATATAGCACATAAAACATTTAAAAAAAAAAACAGGTAAGTTGATTATGTCGGAGATGAAAAGAAAAATCAGGTATTTGTTTATAAAATCAAATATTTTCCCTAACACATTCAATTAAAAACTCTTGCATATTTTACGCTGAACCAAAATAAAATAATTTGAGTTATGCAGTGAAAACAAGTTGAAGAAAAGGATGACACTGAGGAACAATGCCCCATGGTTGTGTGACAGTGGTGAGTAAGTGTGATTAGGGGAAGCTCAGCATAGTGGAATCAGCTTCCAAAATCGAACCTCGGTCGACCCAAACCTGCACTGAGCTGGCCCTTGCTACACCCCTCAACTGCGCTCAGCTCAGCACCGCCCCTGGTGGCCGGGTTCTCATTGAAAATCTTTGGTTCGGTTTTCGAAGCAGACTCAGCTCCGCTGCGCTTTCAGTGGCCGGTCAGCCTAAAATTGGCTAACCGGAAGTGCCACTTTATATCAACAGTGAAACTGATTTTTAAGATTTTCTCAAACGATTTGGATTAAACTCGTTGTATAATTAAGTGGCCTTTAATATTTAAGTCTTATCCCCATTGATGTCACTTTACAGGGCTTAAATGCCTAATGTCAGCATTTCTTTCTCTAAAGTACCTTGAATTTGGTTTATTTTGAATAATTAACTATCTTTCATTGTTATGAGTTACGAAAAAATGCTAAATATAACTTTTGAAAGAATTTGATAATTGTATAATGTAAAAAAAGAAAAACGTATTTAAAATTCACTGAATCAAGGCAATGACATTGTTTAAAATACTATTCCATTGTAATTGTGTGAAAAATGAAGTGAAATATAAAAATATTTCATGGGTATGTTTATAACCTTAAATACATTTACTGTAGTTTAATAACTCTAGATATGGTATTATATTTAAGTAATTTGTATATATTGGCCGTGTATTCCAAAAAATCATGAGGTAACCTTTTAGAAAATTAAATTAGTGAATAATTTGATGAATTTTCCCTTTGTGAAATCCCAAAATTATCCAATTAGTGTGACACTTTTGACCTATCCCTGCTTGGCAATGAAAATCTCGTAATTTCATTTTAATAAATACCCAATGAATACTTTTCAACTTAAAGTGTAGCATGAATATATTTTAAATCCTGCAGTATTTAAAAAAAAATGTTATATGATTTCAGGGAAATGATCCTTATGGGGTTTTTGACACATCAGATATTATCACAATCTACCATCCAAGTAAGTATAGATTATTTTTAATCCTTTCCAATAATATATAAATTATGATTTTATGACCAAAAAAAGGATAAAATAAAAGATATAATAAAATAATTTTTAATAATTATAATTTTTCATAGGAATTTTTATTTGTTGGGCGCCTGGCTTTACTAGCCTTTCATCTCTAAAGAGATAAATTAGAAAACAGAAAGTACTTACCCTTTAATGGCCATCATTACATATTTACTCTACCATGCTAGCTCAGGTGAGAAGGGGTTAGGTTGGATAATTTTTATAAAGCAGCAAAAAGGTTAACAGATCTATTTACAAAAAGAAATATTTACAGAATTAATACTATGTACAATAAAAAGAAATAAAATACAAGGAAAAAGAGGGAACTCAAACATAATTACTATATACAATTAAAGTTAGAAAAAAGAAAGATATTTAAGATAATAAAGATAATACAAATAACAAAAAAAAGATACTTATTTTATATACAATATTATGGCATGCCACATCCAAAGATAGTCAAGATACAATAAGATGTAAGAGTACATGCACATGCTAAAATATCAATTAGTCATCTGCTTCGGAAACAAAAGAGAGTAGAGTTTGTTTTGTTTCCAGTGCTTTCTTAATCTTGGTTACACCTCCCCTTCTTCGGGAGCGTGAGACCCCTCACGCTGCAATTCAGGGTAATAGACTTTTAGTTGAGCTGCATGTCCAAGTCCAGCTGGTGTACCTTCGGGTGTCTCCAAGTGGTATACGTTAGTTGACCTTTTGTGAGAAATTCGAAATGGCCCTTCAAATTTCGGAGCTAGTTTGCTAGCGAATCCTCGTTCAGCAGATGAGAGAGGATGAGCCCGTCGCAGTACTAGGTCTCCTTCACTGAATGTCGCTTCCTTCCGTTGACGGTTGTAGTAGTTACTTTGCCGCGCTGAAGCTCTGCTGAGTCTGGCTTCCGCTGTCTGCCGAAATTCCTTCAACTTATTTAAATGATCAGACCAAACACAATTATCAAGGGATTTCAATACTTGGTCACTACTAGATTTACCAAAATATGAATTAGGAGGTAAAAGTTCGCGCCCAAAGTTTAAGTAGGCTGGTGTATATCCCGTCGAGCTATGAAGAGAACTGTTGAGGGAGAACATCAGCTCAGGTAGATACTTGTCCCATTTCTTGTGTTGATCAGAAACATATGAGGTAATCCTGCTCTTTATGATTGGTTGGCTCTTTCCGACATCGATATGATGTTCGGTGAAATGTGTAAGTCCAACGGAATCGTCGGTGATTGTAAATTCTTCATTCAACCTTCTGATTCCCGCTATTTGTTCAAGACCAATCAAAGATTCCTTAGAAAACTTAGCTCGACAAGAAGGCATATCTTTAAACCACCAGGACCCTTCAGCAGCATCAATTACTATCCCTAGTGCTCTCATGGCGTCCATCCCCAAAAGACAAGGAACTGTTAGGTTGGGAAGGACATAAAAAGATATTTGAACTTGACGGCCGTTCAAGCTGGCTAATAAGGCAACAGCTTCGTTAACCGTCTCACGCGCTCCATTAGCTACCGTGACAGGATGGGAGGTAACAGATGTAAGCGTGATGTGTTCTTGAGGTAAAGATGAGAGGCCTAAGGAACTGATATACGAACGATTGGCTCCTGTGTCAATAAGCGCTGGAAGATTGGTTTTGCCTGCACTTAGTGTAACGAATAACCTCTCTTCAGCTAAGGATAAGGAAGAAATGTTGTTGAGCTCTCGAGATTTGAGGTCTCTAGTCGAGGAAACAGGGACAGCAGCGACCTCCTTATACTGGCCCGTTCTCGGTTCCATCTTACAGTTTGGGCAATCTTTCTTGGTGATACCACGAGTGCCGCAACTATAACAGAAAAGGTTGTTCTAGGCTTAGAACACTCCGGATAACGATGTCCCGTTTGAAGACAGTTCCAGCAAAGGGATTGTACTGTTGCTAATTCTTATTGTTTCTGATTCAAGATAGTGGATGATGAGGGTTCTGGTTTCCTCTGAACATGTTCAGGGGAAGCTGCTTCCTTATCGCCTTTACTGTTTTTCTTGCTGTAGTCTCCACAGTGGCTATCTTGCTACTCTTCTTAAATTGCATGCTAGATGCTTGAGGAGGTTCGTAGGCAGTTTCTGGGAAAGCGCTTTTATCTTTAGTTGGAGGTGCACGAAAAGTCTTGGCTCTGTCTTCGATCTTCTCCAATTCTTGCCCCAATTCGACCAATTTAGCAATGGATGTTGCTTCAGATCTCCTAATATATAATTGGTATCGAGGCAAAAGATTTTCGTAAATCTTCGAAATTTGTTCCTCTTCGGACTTCTGCCGATTCAATTTTTTGAATAGGGTCCTAATGTTGACGACATAGTCCATAATTTTCTCTTGATCGCCCTGAGTTCTTCGATCGATTTCCTTCTTCAACTTTTCCTGATAATCAAGAGGAAAGAATGCAGAACGGAAGGCTCTTTCAAAATCCTCCCATTCTTTCCAATTGTCTAATTCTAAGCGGCACCAATTGAGGAGTGTCCCTTGGAATAATTCAGGTAAATAGCTAAGTAACTCAGCATCGGGTATTTTATAAGTCCGACGCTTTTCATTTACTCTTTGAAGAAAATCGTCGGCAGAGAGATTTGAACTATTATTGAACTTTAAGGAAGTGAAAAATTGTAACGAATAACTCGGGGGAAAATATAATTAAACATAGCGGTTGGCGGTTTAGACTCTTGTTGATTTGATTCCAGCTCCTCCTCGTTAGTCATATTTTCTTCCGTATTCTCTGAGGACGTCGAAGATACTGACCACAACCAAGGATTACTCAAAAAGAAATCTTTAATCTTACTACCCGCTCTTTTTAATTGCCAGATTTTCTTTAATTCTAATAATTCAGCCTTTTTTAAATGATAGAGCCAACTTACGCGTGGTTCCTTAACCATTAACTATCATCGAGAATATATAGAATGAAAATAGTAATGGAACTGGACAGATAGTTACATATGGCGAGACAAAAGATAATTGTGTTTGGTAATTACAATAAGGAAATTTCACTACAATTTATTTCAGTGCCATTAATCTGAGATGATACATGAAATAATTAGAAAAAGGAACATTAACAACTTAAATTAATAAACATGCAACACAAAAAAATAGCGTACTCTTAAGCAAATAAATTAGAAATTTAAAAATAATTCATGAGACAAAAGGTAACTCAAAGTGACAAAATAACTATTTTTAAATCGTTAAAATTAATTCAATAAAGTTATAGTTTGTTTCAGCAATTAACCTTTAGTCAAGGTGGGCATAGTGACTTTGATAAGATTGTAACAATGCATAACCTATTGAGTTGCTAGTCTTTAGTTTATCATCTGCCTGGTTGCTAACCAGCTTGTTTATTTATGCGTTGCTAACCAGTTTGTTTGTTCATGCGTTGCTATTAGTGACAATAGTTAATTATTGACATTATACAAGTACATATATATTTTTATAAATAAATATATGTTTTCATCACTGTCTTATTCATTCTTATCATTTATATTTCTAATATATAAAGATCTGCTTGAATACAACAATAATGTATGCATAAGATCAAGTTATAGTTATATATATGAAGGTATATCAAAATTCGTTTAAGAAAAAGATATTTAAGATAATAAAGATAATACAAATAACAAAAAAAGATACTTATTTTATATACAATATTATGGCATGCCACATCCAAAGATAGTCAAGATACAATAAGATGTAAGAGTGCATGCACATGCTAAAATATCAATTTGTCATCTGCCATTGGAAACAAAAGAGAGTAGAGTTTTTTTTTTTTTTCACTGCTTCCTTAATCTTGGTTACAATTTTTATAATAATATTCTTGAATCCTCAGTTTAAAACTGTGGTGCTATAACAGGAATGCTAGTGATAAATGAGGCCACTATTTTTTTTTTATATTTCATTATGAATATTTTTAATTTTTTTAAGCATGGGTATTGTAATATGTATAATTAATTAATAAAATACCTTTAGAACAAACGTAGGTGTGCTTTATTATTTTTTACAAAATATACCATCTGTCTTGTCTTTATCTAATCAACATGTGTAATCGATTATATTATAATTTATAAATAGAGGTTACAGTCTTATACTACACCCTTCCCTTAATCCTCACAAAGTCTTTTCGGTGGCTTCACCAGGCGGCCCGATCTGGTGCGCATACCTTCACTAGTTGGAGATGCTTGCTGAGCTTGATCATTGGAAATTGACAGTCCTGGTAACAGCAGGGAAGAACCATTCTGCGGGTGATGCGGAGACTGTCTCTGTTCCTCCTGAAATAAAGCATTAGAGGGTTTGAGTAGAGGATCAGAATCAGAATCAGTTGAGTTGAGTAGAGGATCAGTGTTAGGTGTGGTGAGGCGTCTTAAGTGGGATGAGTTTCTTCTATATTCGTTGTCGTATTGGTCTCTGACCAAGTATGATCTTGGTTCAGGGAGAACCTTTGTAATAGATCCTGCTTTCCATCGATCCTTCCATTTAACATAAACTGGTTGTCCCATCTTGAACTCCTCAGATTGACGAGAAGTTGAGTCATAATATTTTTTACTTTTGAATTTTAGAAGCTCCATTCTTTGGCGCACATCATCGTCTGGTATTTTGGGAATAAGAAGATCAATGCTTGCTGGCGCACTGGTTCGCAGTCTTCGACCCATCAACAGTTGGCTTGGAGAATACTTGAGCCCAGAAAGGGGAGTTGTTCGGTATTCTAGAATGGCTTCATAAATGTCTCCTCCTGAATAAGAGACTTTCTTTATCATTTTCTTCGCGACACCTATTCCTTTCTCCGAGAGACCATTAGATCTAGGGTAGTGAGGACTAGATGTACAAATTTTAAATCCCCAATGTTTGGCAAAAGCTGCCATTTCTGCACTACTGAACGGGTTGTTATCACAACGTACAATTTCAGGCGTGCCATGATTACTAAAAAGAATTTTTAGTTTTTTGATAATTTCAGTGGATG